TGCAGTGTTCTTTGCTAGTGCCCAGCGCCAGGATGAGGCACAAACTGAAACATGGGAAGTTCTGTCTGAACATCAGAATGCTTTTCTTTGCTGTGAGGGTGGCAGAACACAGTCTGCCCAGAAAGGTTATGTAGCCTCCTTGGTGAGCATCTTCAAAAACCACCTGCACAGGAGCTTGGGTAGCCTGATCTGGGTGTTCCTGCTGGAGGAGGAGCTGGACCAGGTGGACCCAGAGGTCTCTGCCAACCTCAGCCACTGTGTGTGTGTGTGTGTGTGTGTGTACAGCTTTTTTATATTTCAGCTGAGCACTGGTCTGTTACATTTCCATGTAAATTATGCTTTAATTTCTCTCTCTGTGTAGGACTCCTTTGATGTTGTCTGTTCTCAATGGGCACACAGACTGTGTTTATTCACTTCTCAACAAGGGAGCAAACGTAGATGCCAAAGATAAGTGGGGAAGGACAGCATTACACAGAGGGGTAAGAGAATATTTCCTTTCTGTCTTTTCCAGTATTGTACGCACTGAGTTAAAATACAGGCTTAGTTTGTAGCACTAATTAATTTCTTATTATTTTATAATGCCATTCTTAGCTTTAAATTGTCTTTTTAGTTGTTTTCAAGGCTAGCTTTTGCTTGTTTGCTACATAACCTCAGAATTCTGTTGGATTTCCTGAATCTCATAATGTTGCTATAAGCTGTTGGCTGCAGAAGACCTGAAGTGTGACTTTTTGTCATGGGGTGGGGGACGTGTTAATGGATGGAAGAACATTGTTGTATGTGCCAAATAGGTTTGGGTTTTCTGTTTTGTTGTTGTTGTTTTTAAATCTTTGACAGATAACTGACCTAGCCCTAGGGATGAGTAGTTCATTCAGTATAACTCCAATAAATTATCCTCTCCTGAATATAAAAGTACATTGCTGCTTTTCCAACAGAGTGGCTGTTTCCAAATGTTAAAAACAGTAACTATGTTTATTTTATTATTACTTAAAAATTTAAGACATTCCCTGCAGTTTGCTTAGTTCAGTTATACAGCTTGACACTCTACATGAACATTTGCAAACTTGTTCTTTCATTCCTTTCTCTCAGGCAGTTACTGGGCATGAGGAATGTGTGGAAGCACTACTTCAACATGGTGCTAAGTCCTTATTGAGAGACTGTAGGGGGCGAACCCCTATACATTTGTCAGCTGCGTGTGGACATATAGGTGTTCTAGGAGCTCTCTTGCAGTCAGCTACATCTGTGGATGCAATACCTGCAGTAGCAGACAATCATGGCTATACATCGCTGCACTGGGCCTGTTACAATGGTAAACGTGAAAGCATGCTGGGGGGGAATGTATCTCTCTGTAGGCATAGTGTCTCACAAAGGATTTCCTATACAATCAAAGCATTCTGAATCTCAAGTATTCGACAGTGAAATAAAAATTGAGAATTAAATGAGCCAAAAAGAAAAGATTTTTTCTATAATGTTGGGCATTTTCTGGGTGAAAATGTGCAGGGCTGTTATGTCATGTTTGTTTTTATTACTTCCAGGACAGTAATCTTCACATACTTGTAAATCTCCCTTTTCCATGAATTGAGTGTCGACGCTGTATTGCTTAAAATCATGTATCTCATATCTGAAATCTGAAGTTAAATGTCAGAATGTAGATGTAACTGCAGAGGGAGTCAATAGAGGGAAAAGCTGAGGAACAAAACAGTGCGTTAACGTTGCTGGATGCAGTGTTATGTTTGTGTTATGTTTGCGTCAGGACCTGGAAATCATTTAATTAAGAACAGTTTAATTAAGAACAGACACTTCTGGTAATGTACCTGGGGAGGTGCTAGCCATTTCTGGACAGCTTTCATTTTGACTAATACAAATGTTTACGTTTTATTTTATTCTGCAGTCAGTCATGTACATCCAAACTGGATTTTGTATTAACTGTAATTAGCGAAGACAAGTGACAAAATGAAGTTTATGTATAAATAGCTTTGGGTTCCTTAAATAGGAAGCATCTTCATAACTTCACAAAGCAAAGCAAACTACTGAATTGTAGTTGAAATGGTTTCCAGGTGTAAAGACGTACCCAGATGCTTCTGTTTGACTGTTACAGATAAAATGTCCCATTGCTCATTTTTTTTTCTCTTAGTCTTGGAAAAAGTGGAGTTCATCAGTTACAGAAATACAAAGGTTTTCACACTCTTGTATACTTTGTTTCTCCTAGCAAGCACATATTCTTTTTAATACAAAGCTTCTCTTCCATCAAATGGGTTGACAGTTAAATGCATGTAATTGTTAATACTGAGATAGATGTTACTAATACTTCAAAACTACTTTAAAACTTAAAATATTGCTCAATCTAATTTAGATAAATATATTTTCTAAATCAGAAGTAGTTCTTTTCCTTTTTTTTAATTTCTTTTTAAACTATCTCTACGTTTACTTCAGGTCACGACAGTTGTGTAGAACTTCTCCTGGAACAAGAAGTTTTTCAGAAAATGGAAGGAAATTCTTTCAGTCCATTGCATTGTGCTGTGTAAGGAAAAGCAAAATTATTCTTCGTAGACTTAATCATGGTATTTAACAAAAGATTTATCATTCTGTAAATAACAGCTTGTTTAATTCTTTATAGGATAAATGACAATGAAGGTGCTGCAGAAATGTTAATTGATACATTAGGTGCTGGTATTGTAAATTCAACAGATTCAAAGGGAAGGTAAGAGTGCATCTGCATGGTGGGACAATGTATGTAGTGGTTGCATTCACTCTGCTAAATTCTGTTGTTTGTGTTTTTTAATGGCTACTCAGATTATTTCCTACTTCCCCCTTATTTATTCTTTAAAGATTGTTTTAAATTCTGAGTAAAAAAAAAATTTTTTTAATCTAGTTCTGATTCAGTAAACCTGAATGGGCTTTTTGTTGCATAGGCAGGGTTAAAATTGCATCACTTCATGAGTATTATTTTATGTGTACTTTTCCTGTCTGAATCAAGTTCTTTCTGTACTGTGCACTACACAGATAAGAGTTATGTATTTGAAACTTGAAGGTGATTTCTTGAAGGCACCAGTCACAGCTCTTAACGTTCCTGATCCCATCTGATCAGTGGAAGTGACTGCCCAGTCTCTGCACCTACAGTCAGGTCTGATGACAGTCAGTGTGTCTGTAAAAAGCACAGCTGAGCGTCACCATGTGATCTGTTTCAGGACCCCTCTTCATGCAGCAGCTTTTACAGATCATGTTGAGTGTCTGCAGCTTCTACTCAGTCACAATGCTCAAGTAAATGCTGTAGATGCTTCTGGGAAAACACCTTTAATGATGGCTGCAGAAAATGGGCAGACAAATACTGTTGGTAAAGTATCTATTTCTCCTGTTCAGTGTGTTGATCTTACCACAGATGAAGTTGCCTTATCAGTTGATTATTGTGGATATATTTTGTTAAAATATGATATTCATTTTGCACAAATGTAAACTATTAAAACTTTACAGACTGTGCTTTTACTTAATACAAACCTTTATTTCTTGCAGAGGTGCTGGTTAGCAGTGCTAAGGCTGATCTGACTTTGCAAGATAGTTGTAAGAACACAGCACTCCATTTGGCTTGCAGCAAGGTGCGTGCATAGTCTGACCTCACTGGTACTCGTTGGTACTTTGTGTTACCAAACATTGTTTACAAATAAGTGTTTGCCTGCAGCCCAGCAGTGCCCTTGCAGCCCAGAAGGCCAACCTGCATTCAAAAAGGGGTGGCCAGCAGGGAGAGGGAGGTGATCGTCCCCCTCTACTTGGCTCTTGTGAGGCCCCATCTGCAGCACTGTGCCCAGGGCTGGGGCCCTCAGTGCAAGAAAGATGCAGAGCTCTTGGAGCGGGTCCAGAGGAGGGCCACTAAGATGATCAGAGGGCTGGAGCACCTCTCTTGTGAGAAAAGGCTGAGGGAACAGGGCTTGTTTAGCTTGGAGAAGAGAAGGCTCTGGGGAGACCTCATTGAGGCCTTCCAATACTTGAAAGAAGCATAAAAACAGGAGGGGGAATGGCTGTTTATGAGGGTAGATAGTGATAGGACAAGGGGGAATGGTTTTAAACTGAGACAGGGGAAATTTAGGTTAGATACTGGGAGGAAGTTTATCACACAGAGGGTGGTGGCACACTGTAACAGGTTGCCCAAGGAGGCTGTGGATGCCCCATCCCTGGAGGCATTCAAGGCCAGGCTGGATGTGGCTTTGGGCAGCCTGGTCTGCTGGTTGGTGACCTTGCACATAGCAGGGGGTTGAAACTACATGATCTTTGAGGTCCTTTTCAACCCAGGCCATTCTGTGTTTCTGTGATAAGAACTTACTACTTTGGAAAGGCATTCAAAGCTTTTTTTGAAGGTTGTTTGCTATGTGACAAATGTTTATTCTGTATTAAGGGTCATGAAACTAGTGCCTTGTTAATACTGGAGAAGATTACGGACAGAAACCTCATCAATGCCACCAACGCAGCCTTGCAAACGTACGTATCCACGGAGTGGTTTTTTTCAGATCACTTTTTGGGGTGTTTTGCTAAGACTTTCTTATAAAGAGAAATATTTTTGCAATTTTTTTTCTAAATTGGTTGAATTCTGTTTGAATTGCTGAATACCAGGAGTTGGACCAACCTGAAGTGAGTAGGTATATTGTCCAAACCTGGACTTCTAGTTTTAGCTGAGTGAAAAGGATAAGAAATAAATCTTAATGTATTGTGATTCATGGAATCCTGTGTGAGATTACTGCAATCCATTGAGATTATCTGCACACCAGTGTATTTGTTTTACAAACTGAGTAATTTTTCACTTAAAATTCAGGTTTTTTTAAATTCATTGGAGGCAAATTACTTTTTTTTTTTCCATAGCTAGCCATCAAAACCTAGCTAAGTGTGCTTGTATTATTCAGCATGCTTTCTGTTGGTAAATTTATCTATTACTGAGATGGCAGACTTTGTTTTCCATTCAATATTGTAACTTTTCTGCATTTTATTTTTTTTTCCTTTTGAAGAAAGTATTTGTGTTGTAGGCAATACTTGACACCTGATAAGTAGCTAAGTTACACCACATGAATTCTTGGATTCCTTTAGCAATGTTATCACACAGAGCATTTAGAATAAACACCAAAACTTCCAAGTAATTTGTACATTTCTCTGGCCTTGCATCCCTTCCGGAATCTGCCATGTTCAAACCCCGACAGTCTTAGCAGCTATTCTGAGAGATAGGCAAGAGAAAGCAGAGTGAAGGAAGCTGATTATTCTGTGTCCTGCAGAGTGGTGGTAGGATTCTTTAAACCAGTGGGAATCGATTCTGGAAAACTGTTTCATTTTAAAAAGATATAATCAGAGTAGGTGTGGTAAAGTTGCACTTTCCTTGATACATCAAGACACCACACAAGACATGGTTAATAGATTGAGGTTTTCAAAAGTAATTTGTTTTTCTCCTTGCTTTATGCAGTCTGAATTTTTCATCTCTGGTCACGAAGGAATGTGGTGGTTTCTGGAAGGCAGATTGATGAAATGCTTCTGCGTGTCTTGGAAGCATTAATATGCAATAAATAATGTACCAATATTTGTATTCTGATGATTATTGCTGGTGACACAGAGATCTCAGATGTGACACAATCTATTAAAACCATTCAATGAAGGGTTTATTAACAGGAAAGTATAGGTGACTGATTTTTTATTGTGATGAAGCTCATAAGCAGGCGGATCATTTCCAGCAGCTACTTCTTCACATGTGGTTCCACTAATAAAAAATAATAATAAAAATACAGAACTATTTCTGTCTTGATTGTCTGCAGCAAGAAACTGGCTCTGTTAGTTTTTCCCATCTTCGCTTTGTATCTCCTATATTTGGTAATGTGTAAATAACATACAAGTAAAAATATGTCAGTAATCATTCATCACAATGCGTTTTATCTGCCTTGTGTATTACATTTTGGTCTAAGGTTTATCTACCAGTTTGTTTGTCTTCACAGACCTCTGCATGTTGCTGCTCGAAATGGACTAACAGTTGTAGTTCAAGAACTCTTAGGAAAGGGAGCAAGTGTACTTGCTGTGGATGAAAACGGTAAGCATGAATTTAACTTTGTTTCCCCATAAGCAGCTCTGCTTTTAAACTCAACTCACTGGACGCAGTAACTGTGTGGAAATTTCATATGAACCTTCCAGTAGGTTCCCCCCTAGAAAAAGCAGCATGTTGATGATGGGTCATTTTAGCAGAGGGGAAGGGAAGTTTTCAGAACAATGCAGCTCATGGTGTAGAAATATTTGGTATAAGTGTATGGTCTGAAAATGTGTGTACTGTGAATACACGGGTGTATTGGAAACAGAAAAACATAATAGTCAAGGTAGAGTAAAACTTTCACTTGTTAAGCTGGATGGAATGGCCACCCATTTTGTCAGGGGTAGATGTATTGGTGTTGGCTTTTAAGAGTGAGTGTGAATTACAGATCTGTTACTGGGTCTCGAGCTTCTGGCTCGTTAGAGCTTTTTGTCACACGTGAGTAAGAAAATGTAATGGAATTTTTAAAAAACACCTTGTAAGGACAAAAGTACATGAGACCTACGGACTTCTTATTTACATATTTCCACATATTAAATCTGTGATTTCAGTATGCCTTGTAACTAAAAGCAGTAGCTGTTTTGGGGTTGTTGTGGGTTTTTTTTTTGCGGTTGTTTTCTTGTTTTGTTACATTTTTGTGGGATTTTTTTGTCTTTTTCAGACAGGATTAATAGTTCTAACTAGATTTCCCTTTTGGACAGCTTGTCCTCCCTTGATGTTTGCTGTGACTTTCCTTTTACAGGGCTTCTCAAATTGCACTGCTTAAATTGACATGGGAGATTTAAGGATCATTCCTCCCCTGAAATAGGGTAAAGGGTAGCTGCTAAATGAAACGCCCTAGAATGAAAATACAGGGAAACATCTTTTTTTTGAGTTTCAGCTTCTCATCACAAGTATGCCAACTGGAGACATCATTTGTGTTTTCTGTGGGTTCGTCACGTGCAGCCCATCAGTGCCATGCTGGGTGAATCTTTGACATAATAGTTGTCCATACAGAAGTCAAGTTCTCTGGCAGCTGGAGGATCTAACTAACGTTTGCGCTTCTCTTTAAATCTGCTAATATTTTAAATTTAAGGCAACTCCTCAGTGCTACCTAATCTAATTCCTCTCCATGGTTCCTAGCATTTCTTTCTAACAGCAATTACATTGCTTATAAAATCTTGAGCAGCTTTGAGAGTATTCATAGAGAATACTCTGAGGTGAATGTCCCAGCTCAGAGCGCTGTGTAGACAAAGCCATGAATACTTTGAGGTGAGAGAGAGCGAGGGAAAAAACTAGAATATGGTGTTTCATTCCTAGTTATGGAAGCTCAAGAGCTAAACCTGAATATTAGTGTAAGTTCTGGGCTTTAGAGTTGTGGTTGTTTTTTTACAGAAACAAGTTTTTTTGTTGACCTTCAGTTTTATTTTTTTAAGACAAAGTGGGATGCTCTGTTCCAGAGGTGAATGAGCATTGTCTTACACACCTGAAATACCCACTTCTTCCACTGCTTCTGCAGACTGTCACTGTTGACTCTGAGCTGATAGTTGAGGCTGTCTCTTGCTTGCTGTTTGCTTATGTCCTAGCCGCAATGAATTTCCACCGGGGGCCTGTCTGTTTATAAATTCTGTGCAGTGTGCTTTCACCTCGTGGTAACTATTTCTGAACCGTGTCCTAAAACCTGACCTGGATCATTTCTGCAATGAAGGTGATTCCTTAGTGGTTGCAATACTTGCTGGTAAAATAAGCATTATCTCATTTTTCATGCTTTCCAAGTATCTGAATAGAAGCCTATCATGTGGCTTACCATAACGCTGTGCATTACGAAATGCATACAAGTAACTTAGATGCTGTACGCCTTCAAGCTGTGAAGTGGGAGTAGTGTGGGACTTCAGGCTCTGAAATGCACATGGCCATTAGTCTGTCTGCTCAGCAGAATTAGCTGTCACCTGCAGTTGTGCTCATGCTGTGATGGACAGCGATAGGGAAGCTTCAGGGTGAAGAAATATTTCATGTTGTGTAGTTTCTGCAGTGACTCTCTGGTGAGCGCACTTAGTTCCATCCCCTTGGCCAGTTGACTTCCTCACCGTTTCCAGAACCAGGCTTTGTGGTTGGCCGAGAACATCTGACTGTTTAAAAAACCCTGACATCTCTGTTCCAAAGAACTCTGACTTCTGGGACGCATTTGTAACTGAAAGCTGTAAAAACAAACAAACGAACAAAACAAAAAACCTTATGATGTATTTAATTTTATGGCCCTTTTCAAACAGTGTGGAACTAAGTAAAATGAAATGTTTTTGCAGCTGAAAGATGACACGACCTTGAGCAAATTTGTACATTGTTGTTGTGTTTTTCTCTGCTCCCAGGTTACACACCAGCTCTGGCCTGTGCACCCAACAAGGATGTGGCCGACTGCCTCGCGCTCATCCTGGCCACGATGATGCCCGTTTCATCAAGCAGCGCATTGCCTTCCCTCACGTTCAATGCCATTAATCATTACACCAACACCTCTAAAACTGTCACCTTCGATTCCTTGCCAATCATGAGGAGTGATCATAGCTCTTACTGTACTTTCAACAATATTGGCAGGGAGGATGGCTACCCCTATACAGAAGAAGATGAACTCAATGACTCAGATTCCGAGACCTATTGAACGCTGCATTTCGTAGGGCTGAAGAGTGACCCCTAATGCTGGAAGTCGTCACATCTGGGCTTTTGAAAAAAGCTGTTGGAATTTGAATGCAAAAAGAGGACCGACCTTTGGAAGATGCTTTTTATTGTGGTTGCATAAAACAAAACAAAATCCATGAGACTCTGGAAGGATTTTTAAGAGCATATTTTGCAGACGAAGCAGAAATTCTGGAATAAATTCTTGGAAACCGTGGCAAAAAAAAATTTGAAGAATGTCAAAACTGCTTTATTTAACTGTTCTACCGGTCTGTTTCTGGTGCCAGGAGTAACTTCTGCAGACTGGGCACCCTCGCTGATGTAAATGAACGACACTGTTGTACAACACAGAGGATACTAGATTTAAATATTGTCAATAAAACGAAAATCATTTTGAAGGCAATAAAAGCGTTTGGTACAGTAGGCATTGTTTGTGCTGCAAACTGCCAAAGGACCAAATAACTTAAAAGGTTGTTTTTGTTTTTGTTTTTTTTTAATTAAATACATTGTTGTGGAAACTGGAATAGATTCTTTGAAAAGTTGTTTTAACCAAACCTTAATTACTTCTGGGAAAGAAGCTGAGATTTGGTTTTAAGTGTTGACTTTTTTCTTTTTGTTTACCATCTAAAAACCTTCCAGCACTATTAAATGTACCATGAAAGAAAGCAGATTTATGTTTAAGTTTTGTTTTCTTTTTCTTTTTGACAACATGAAAATGGAACTTGTCGTACTTTTCTAATACTAAAACTAAACCAGCTAACAAGGTGAAGTCAGGGTGAAAAATGTACAGTGTAATAAACAAGGGAAGGGTGGGAGATGGGGGAGGGAAACATTGTTGCACAGGTTTAGACTGTTAAACTTTGGTGGTTTGAATTGAGATTTTTTTTTTTTATTTAAAATATGTAACTTGGAAACTATGAAACTGCATAAAGAGAATGGAAATGTCTCCATAACCCCAGAACTGGGACTGAGAGTTCTTGGCAACGATTGGCCCCCTTCCTTACATCGAAAAGATTGCACGTGAAGGTGGAATTGTAAATCCCTAGCACTTCTTTTTTTTCTTTTTTTTTTGAATCCTGGAGTTGCCGGGGCGGGGGGAGGTGAATTTAAAAGTATATTTCCCTATTAGAAAGAAGTACAGTGTCTGGTCTGTGGGAAGAGCTGTGTATCTTTGTTGTGCTCCATTTAGAAATGAACAGCAGAAGCAGGTCCCCTAATGTAGTTCAGCCTCACCTGAAGATTTTTATCTTTTTTATTTATAACAGACTACTGCATTTTTTTAATTGCCTGAAGAATGAAAAAGTGACATAAGCAAGCTGAAGTCTCATTGTTAAATATGCATATTTACTTTATTTGGCTCTGCTTTAACTACAACTGTTACTTTTCAAGTGAAATGGCTTATGTACGTGCAAGGAATCCTTGCGTGTCCTGGTAAAGTACAAATAAATTACTGCAAACCGATTCAAATTTCCTTTTTATCCTTTTTGTATTGTGAAACTGGAAATCTTTATGATATTGTAAATTATCAGCTGGTTTTCTGAACATAAAGTGGAAACACGGGACAATATTTTGATCTGTTTGATAATTTTGTGGGTTTTTTTGAAGAATTAATGAGCATGTACATAGAAATAGTGACTGCTTGAATACTGTATTTACCTGCACTCTTTCAGTACTTCAAGATTCTTGTATATTTTACGGAATATAATAAAACCCAAATGTGAGTTCTACTAAGGAATAATTTATTTGTATCTATTAAGCACTAATGGCAAAGTCTCTTTTGTTGAACTGTTAGAATTTATAAGATCTGCTTTCCAAAGGCTTTGTAATCCTAAACGGAAGGTGAGCTACTGGAATTTCAGGTAACCCTAAATGTTAGATTATTAATTACTCCTCTAGGCTTTCTTCTAAGTACCCCTTTCTTAACCATTTGTGCCTGTGTTTGTTGTTTGCATATGCAGTGTTTGTCTCGGAACAGAATTAGATGACTTCAGGGTGATGGTGACCTCTGTTTGCTTCCCTCTGGTCTCTCAAAGTACTCTGTGGGAGTGACCGACATTTTGGGTCCGTGTTGGTCTGTTTTGAGATTCACTCCATCTATCTAAATACCGGGGTTGAAACAGCATGGAACCATGCATCCTCACTTGTATCAGAATGGCAAGCAGCACCTGCGCTATTGGGAAGGTAACAGTTAGATGTTTCTGTAATGAAGTTTTTAAGATGTTTGATTTTTCCTACAAGTTGTAAACTCTGTTTAGGAATTCAGAGTTGTGTGTATGTCTCATCATTTAGAGTTTACCCAGGGAGCCTGGATATCTCTGTTTGCATGAATTTCCTTAATGGACAGGACAGCAGTTGTGCCTTGTAAATGGTAAGTGGGATTCTTACTAGAAAATGATTCCTAAAATGGAACAAAGTTTGTTTAAAAAACTCACTGCTCGTCTGCTTTCCTAATGAGAGGTCAAGAAACAGAAGGTTCCTTGGTTCTGTAAAACAACACTGCCTGCAGGCGGTGTCCTCGGGTTTTTTTAATCTTCATACCTGAATGGAAGTCTGCTGCTTTCCAGAAAATGGTACTGCATCCTCTTCTTTTTTCCCTACATCCAAACAACGTCTTGAGTTTTCACCAGAAAAGAGCAGGACTCAGCTGGATCACTGATTCAATGTAGTGGGATAAAATAAACCCTTTTTATGCTAGGGGGAAAAAAAATGAAGGGACTTCGGTAGTGACAACAACCAGCTCTGATCAGCTTTCTGTGCACTCTGGCTGCTGCTGTGTTTTATGGGTTATTCAGTTCTCAGGATAAACGTTATGCAGTAGAAAATGCCAAGTTAGCACAGAACTTACTGGGCTGAGTAACTTGTTTTCGTAGAGTGCTGTGTTGGTGTGCCTGATCCTGACACAATCAAGAGTTCATCTTTTTTCTTCCTTTTTTTTTTGTTGTTGTCCTTTTTCCTCTCTTTAAGGAGTGACCCTTCTGTAATGAAGTTTTTCCTTGTAACATTGTCTAAAGTCTTCCTCCTGCTCCATTATTTCTTCTTACTACTTATTACTTATCCAGCACCTGGATTCCTCCAAAACAACCATATAAAATTTTGCTCCAGTTAACATCTGAAAAAAGGGTACTAAAAAACCCAAAGCTGTTGTGTTATGTCTCACTGATAACATTCATAGGTTCTTCAGACCTGTGATCATGTTTTTAAGAATGAATTAGCTTCCTGTCTTCCCAAAGATTCTGTCCATTTAAAAGCAAGAAATATTGTAATAATCCAGATATCGTTTTCTGTTTATATTCTAGTTTGAGTGCTCAGTAAAACCTTCTAAGCAGAAGTGAATACCATTGAGAGCAGATAGTTGTGAGAAGTTCCACGACTAAACACGCGATTAAACATTTTAGCAGTGCCAGATGTGTCAGGGGAGCTTGTAATCCTAACTCCATATTTGGAAGAGTGAGGTTCACATCTTAAAAGCAGAAAGCTATGTTAAAAGAAGCAGCAGTTCTGCAGAAGTGGCGGGCATGCTCTTCGCTCAGTGGTGTACAGCAGGGAGGGGAGGGAGGGCTGTAGGGTTCCCTGCCTGCAGGAATGCTCTCCTCACTCCCCGCTTTGTCCACTCTGACTGTTGGTGGTACTCAGTCACTTCTCCATGCAAAGGCCACTGTGTTTTTTGCTTTAAAAGTGTTCATCTGTGATGATGATACTCCCTGAACTATCCAGACTAGATTCAGAGTATTATCTTTGGAGTGAATGGCTTTTATCGAGTGCTAACAAGTACTTTGAACACGATTTCCATAGATCTGTATTTAAACTCCATTAAGTACATTTTAAGATCAGTTGACAAACAGCAAGTATTGAAATTCTTGAAGTTTATCCAGTGAATTCATATAAATTCTTAAATCTGAGATAACTGGTAATTATGGCTGCTTGCAGTAATCTCTAATGACTGGTGACAACTTCCTTTTCCTTTAGTATGCTGCAGAAGTTGATGGATGGTTGAAGAAAGATTCTTCCAGTTTAGGAATAAAACGCTTTGTAAGTCAGTAGCTGTGACAACTGCGTGAATTGGACAAGGTAAGATTTACAAAACCTTGGTCTTTACAGACTTAAACCAGAGATTCTAAATATAGATGTAATACAGATCTGTTGATTTCCCTTGTTAAGATGAAGCTTTGGCTTTATTTTCATGTAGTCCTTCTCACTATAATATCCATATATTTTGAAGATTGTTAAGGAAGGAACCAGATGTATCCATTTAAAGTGTCAAAACAACTGGTTGTTCTTAAGAAAACAGTACCTGCTGTCATGTACAGTCCTACAGGTGGGCCCTTACTCTGTTCCACACATCCTTACCTACCTACTGAAAGAAAAACTGAGATTTCAGCCGTTGGGAAGAGTCTTTCAGCTGTTTCAGTCATCTGAAGCTCAGCAAAATGCCTTGCTTTTTTTCCCTAGGGAGCAAAGTTAGCCTTGACTAACATCCCCAAACTGCAGCGTGATTTTGTTTTTCCTGTTTTGACTCATCTCTCACTTGATGGAACTCTTTCCAACCTGGCATCCTGATTTTGTAGCATTGATGCTTTACTTCAAACAAAGTAGTATCTAAATTATCAGTGCTTCCATACTCACTGTATACCATGGGAAACTGAATTCCCTGTCTTCTTGTACTGCATTTTAACACTTTTCAAGCTGAGTATTGCAGTATTTCACCATGTAACTGTGAACATGGTTGAATAATACGGAACCTGAGGAATCTTTCAAGCTGTCTTAAAGTCATTAATCTCATTAAACATTTAAAAACACCTTACATTCTCTTGTAAGTTAAAATTGCAGTAGCAGTAATCAGAAATTTAGCTCTTCCAATTCACAACAGAACAAAAGAAGCCCTTGCTTCCAAGCCTTTTCAGTGACAAATGTACAGGTTTTTCTTCTCACTGCATCGCAGCTTGGAAGGACTGACACTGATGTCTCAGCCTCAGACACTGTAACAGTTTTAAAGCAAAATGTAATGTTTCATTCCCTCTTATTTATCTCCTCTTCCCTGCCAAACGTCCATTATTCAAGCTCCTCTTGGGCTTTCTGTGATGCCAGGGTATTAATTAAATACTACAAGAAAGGCCCCAGCCTGGGCAAGGCTGCGTCAAGCCACACGAGGCTTTGCACCTCTGTTCTGTGGTGGTTGCAGCAGCCTCTTGCTGCTCAGTCACTTTAACCTAGTCATCTCCCTGTAAAGGTCTACTTGTACAAGCTTGCACCAACTCTGTGTGTTCTGAAGATCTTTGTTCTGAACTGCTTGTCCCACTCCATTACCAGTTTCTGACATTCTGAACCTGTTCACATGCCTCTCAGGAACTGAACTCCAAAGTCCTGTTCGTGACGCTTTCTTTGCTGTATTTTCTGGCAGATGCTTTCAGCATATTCAGATATCCTCACAACTACCTGGATAACTCAGCACCAGATCCCTTATACAGAAGCCCCTAATACTTCTGGCTTGTGTGCTGTTACTCCTAGCTGGCCAGGGCTTTTCTGATTTGCTGATCTCCCTCAGCAGTATCAAGACGCCTCACAGACAGCATTCCTTACTCCTTCTCACATTGTTTCTTTTGTCGCAGTACAAACATCTTCCACATCCTGAGCACATTAAACATAATCTGTTGATTTAAAGCTGTTCTTGATTTAAGATCTGTTTTTCGTATGGCAGAAAGTCCACTCTTTCTGTTTTGATTTCCCTCCCAGAGAGAAAACATTTAGGAAGCTTCACTAAAACTGTTTATATCCATTGAAGGGAAATGATGGTCATATGGGTATGTTTCTTCTGCCTGTGTGACCTTCAGCTTTCCTAAGGGCTTCTCCCTTTTTCAGAAAATGGTATGACTATTATCCTTTATGAAACCTGAAAGTGAATTTGTCCAAAGCAGATTATTGAGCAGTATAATACACTTCTTGCTGCAGTTCTTTGAGTTTGAACACATTTTGGAACTGCCTCAGCCAAACTGAGAACTACACATCTCCTGTTCACAGCTCCTCCCAGCAACTAGGACAACAGATTTAGCACCTGGAAGACAAGGATGCCCCAAAGGAGCAATTGTGTTTATTAGTCAGTTACTTAACAGCTCTTACACGGATGAAGTCATAATGGCCTATGAGATCCCCAAAATTGTAATGGTTCAGAAGAAATTATTTTCTTTAATTTTAAGGCCAAAATAATATCCTTTAAACATCCTTTTGCAAGCATCTCCACTGCAGTAATAGTTTGTCGTTGCATGACAGTATTTATAGCATCCAATCTAGCTATGGCTGTGGAAAGAATGCTGTGTTTCAGCAGCAGGAACTGCCACCTGGTACACAGTTTATGTAGAAACCCTACTGTCCCACAATTCATTATCTGCTTTTCACAGCTCTTACTGAATGAATTTACAATGTTTGAATTGTCTCAAAGTCAAAACAGGCATGCAATGACTTCTCTTTAAAAATGGGAAAGTCAGAGTACTAAAGTAGTACCTAACATAGTTGCTGATTCGTTGTTGAGCTTTATTTAAACATCTTGCACAGGAGCATGGAAATTATGCCTTCATGAAGGCTAGTGTTTCAGTGTAGCAGTTGATACACTCCTTCCCAGACTGTTGTTCCACAAATGTTCACAGTGGTAACGCTTGCTTAGTTACTATTAAAAGTAAGAAATAACTCACTGAGCAAGTAGCCAATAAATTGTAAAGATTTCAGATGGGAGCCGGGGGAAGGGAGTGAGAGTAAGGAAAAAACCTTAGCACTCTAACCAGAAATCAGAACCTGATGCTATCAAGGTATATGCATCTATTTTCTTGCATATATTTGTGTAATCAATGCCATTCCCTTTCCTACTTTTTTTTCCCCTTTTTAATGGTTTTCTACTTCTTTCATTTCCACTCCCACCAGAACTCCAGAGAACCAAACAACTAAATTAAAAGAGGCAAATTCTGTTGAAATGAGATTATTTTCCTAATATAAGGTATCTCAAACACACTGTAACAAGCCTTTAGACTTGCAAGGCAATTCACTTACTTGTGGAAAGACGTAAGCTCCCAAGGTACAAGCTTGGTTTGTAGTCTCTTTGGTCATCATTTCAAATGTAGAATCTATTAGACAGTCATGTAACAAACATACCTGAAGATTCTGAAGTACAGCTGTTCAACAGTTCCTGGTAAGATATAGACTCTGAAAATCTGATGCAGTTAAATATCTGTGCTAGTCCTTTTCATACCATCGTCCATACAGAGCAGCTGTCAGTAGGCCATTAGTAGTTCTATTTTTGCTTAGGAAATAGTGGTTGTTTTTCCAGCCCATGTGATCAGCAAAGTCCAAGGTAATACCAGACGTCAGCAGCAAAGGAAAGATATAAGGAGTACTCATATTTCCCCATAGCTGGAAATCTATCAGAGCAGTGGCATGTGTAACCTCCTGCCCACAAGTGCTAAAGCTGAGACCTCCACACTTCACTAATGCACAGGCCTGGACGTAGTAAATGCCATTCACTGTGTGGAGCCCGTCAAAAACTCCCAAAGCGTATAATTCATCAGTTAAAACATCTCTCTTATAATTTAAGTAGCAACAAAGAGTATTGGCACAAACCTGAAGTTCTCCTTTTTCCGCCCATACAGGAACAAAAGTAAAATTGTCATACATCATTTCTGCATAGAACAGGGGAGGCGACTGTTGGTTTCCTTTTTCTGATACTTTGCCATGGGCCTCCTGTCCTTCCGTAAAGCAAACCTGGTCATCCCCTGAGGTACTTGTAGAAGTAGTGCATGAATGATGCACGTTCTCTCTGAATCTTTCATTATGCTCCAAATCAGTTTTGTAATCTGTGCTAATGACGGGAATTTCTGCTACTATGAGCTTGCCACCGTAACTGTCCATGTTGTGGTAGATAAATGATTTGACAGGAGTGTATATGCCACTCCCTGTCATGCCCAGGGTAGGGTGGTGGATATTAGCTGCTAAAATATTGACACTGAAAGCTGTTGCAAAAGCTTGTTGAAATTCTACAGCAGACAGGAGTGGGAGCTGGTTCATCCAGGCAGTCGGATAGACAATCTGTTTTACACTGTACTGTCTGATTAGATTCACTGCTGGCTCAAAGAAGAGTATGTCAAAGCAAGTAAACATACCAAACTTGCCAGCAAAAGGGGTATCAAAGAGCTGGTAGTCAGGCTCTGGAGGGGTATCAAAAGCATATTCAAAATACAGATTGTGTTTACGGTACGTGGCTACCAGTGTACCAGCATCGTTGAACACCACGTTGGTATTGAACTGGTATCTTCCATCACGTGGACAGTGAGGATCTGTGTGCTCACAGGGTTGCTTAGTTCCTAAGTTTGCCACCAGGAATATTTTGTTCTTCAGTGCCATGCAGCTCAGACGTTGAAGAACCTACAGAACCAGAAAATGGAGAGGAAGTTTTACTTCAGCAATATATTTAATGCTTTTCAAATTACTATTTGCAACTGGAATGTATATACACTTAAATTTATCTGTAAAATGTAAACATAATGACATCTTTATGATGAAAGATAATGGAAATCATTGTTTTCTAGACCAAAAAGTACTTCAAATACCAATTGAAAAATTATCTAATTTTTATTTCCTGCAAAGTAAGTAAATACATAAATCTCACCACTTTAAGGGCTTTAATTTTCAGTAGCTTCTGGCCGTTGCTTGGAACATCAGTGGCTTTAAAACACCGTAAGACAACTGAAACCTTTGAGCAGACAGTGTAGCTGATTTGCATGCAGCTTTAGAAAAGCATATTTCTGATACTGATTATTTGCACCTGCAGCAGTTTGTTCCTGCAACTACTCCAGTATTTTTATTCTGAACTTATTTTTAAAAATTACTAGCTACAACCCCCAGAAGCAGAGATGTAAATGCTTTTTGCTCAGTTGCAGAACAGAAATACTGAACGTTGCAGGCTGTACTGTTGGCACGTTTCCTCCAGCCCAGAGAAAGCTGTATATTAACTGCCATTTATTTTCTTTGAAGGTGTGACTGCCCGACCTGAAGCACCACAGTGCAGCTATTTGAAGCTAAATCTGAACAAGTACAAATAATTCATTAGAACTGAAATCATTTTCCCAAGGTTTACCCCTACACTACATAGTGTTGCTGAGAAGGTGAGTGTATCGCTCAGGAACAACACAGTTTAGTGGCTTCTGAGGCCCAGAGCACTTGGGATTTCTCTCCATAGCACTGTACCATTCAGATCTATCAGCCACCTTCACTCAGACTGTGCAGATATTTTTTATAGCTTTTCCCACAATGGTGGGCTACTCCTGTAAAGCTATGTGTTTATCGAAAACTTACAGCTTCAGAACATTTTTGATGTGATTTTCTGCAGTTATACTGAAATGAGAATGTGCATTAGCATTAGCAAGGGTACTGAACCTGGGTTAACTGCAACAAAATCCAGAGCCTTCCAGTACTGCAAACCAAGGACCTGAATGTCAAACTAAGCTTTTGCTTGCTCGTGTACGATATCAGCAATAACGACCAATAGGCCAGAGTAGGCCAGAATTTACCACTGCATTGTTTAAACCCAAACTCTGCTATCTTAGCAGGCACATAAATAACTACTTAGTTTCAGTGTATTGATTACTGTTAACATTAGAGGAATAAATAGCTTGTATTCCTAAGCATGGCACAGTTACTTCAACATTAGATCCAGAAAAGTAGATGAAAATACTATTTCTGCAATTTGCAGATCACCTCCTCTGTAATTACATACCACCTATGTTGAACTGTGGCTTCTATTGCAGGTCCTTTCCTGTTTCATGAGCAAATCAATTCATACACAGTTAAATGAGTCAGAATGTTCTGAAGTCATTGCACCCACAGAATGCTTGGACTAACAGAGTAACAAGGAGGCATCAGAAATGACAACAACAGTCAAAATCCCAAACTACTAGTGATGTATCTTATTAGAGTGCCCTTTCATAGGTTGGGGAGAGGGAGTTTAAAAGCCAATAAGACTCATAAACAAGCTGAACTTCTTCCATATATCTAACCAAAGTTTTCTAAGAATGAAATCAGCATGAACAGAGTCCATTAAAACAATCCGGTGACTAGGAGTTGTTACAGTTCTTTTTTAATTCCCTAAGCAAAACTAGATTTGTGCACTTGCAGCACAAAAGTAGCTTTTAGTTATTCCCCTTCTCTACAGAAAACGTTCCTATATTTACCTCTGTGTCACTGAACAAATACTTCTCTCTGCATGGATTCCACTTCACAGAGTCAGAATGCGGAACAAAGTCTAAGTAAGGATAAATTGATCTTCTTGTGAAGTTGAAGCCGTGGATTCCATCTTCAGGAAAAACAATGATCTGTGCTCCCTGTGTGTAAAACAAAGGCATGTTTTGTAGGAATAGCAAAACCAACCTAAGTATGAAATGAAAAAAAGGCAATATTTTGGCTAAAGAGAGCTAAGGAAAGTTAAGGTGACTCAATTAGGTTTTGATTTGAATGCTGTTTGAAAACATCCTTTCTTTAACAAACATAGTAAATGTAACTGTGCTTAAGAAACAAACTCATTTAACCTGACTCCTAACTTTACCTTGAGAAATAACTGATTTGGTGTTATTTGCATTCTCCTGAAATAGAGAAATAGTCATAGAATAGTCATGAGAATATTATCATTCAGGTTAAAGACTTGTTTCCAGAACTATGCCATTTGTGGATGAGGTCTATCAGAGGTGCAGTATCTGCATCAAATATGCAGCAACTGCATCAAAGGTGCAGCACAACTTGAGCACAGCCTCAGTTAGGTGTGTAGGGTTGGAGAGGGCACTGGCAGTAGTTTTCAGAAACAATTTGACTATGGAAGCAGTACATGCTTTAGCAGCCATGCAGCCATCGCAGTTCTAGGCTGGTGCTGCCTAAAACTGTGGGACAGCTGTCCTTATTAAAAAATATGAATGCTTTTTAAATCAGACAGAGCATCAGTCACTCACATCCCCACGACTTCTCACAAGTCCTTTCAAATGTGCTACCTTTGCTACTGCTTTGGGATCATTTATGTCATCTCAAATACAGAACTGCATTAAAATAGCTATCGTGCTTCTGGACTGCAAGGCCTCATAACCTGAATTTCTCAAACAAAAACAAAAAAATCCACATCCTGAAGTTATGCAAAACTGGTAGTTGTTCTGTTTAAAAAAAAAAAAAAAAAAAAAAAAAAAAAAGATTTGTATAACTTGTGTAACTTGCAAGTCATTTCTTCTCTGCATAGGGACAGTAGAGACTATTTCCTCTGGGCTAGAACCACACTGAGACTTCATCAGGAGGAAAGGAGGCTGTGCATAAGAACTGCCAGAAATACCACTCTTTCTCCTCGGAATATATTTAGACTGAGTACCAGCCCACAGAGGGAAGGGGAAAGGAATGGAAAACTTTACTTCCACAAAGCTGTTAATGGTGGAACATTCATTTCCAAGGCATTAAACTTCGGTATTTAGAAACATGCAGGAATTTCCATTGAGAGTGCTGGAATAAAACCAAAGCCAAAGACAGAAAACACTCTTTTAATAAAAACATTCCATTGAAGAAAACAGAAAGGAGCTGGGTATCCAGATTAAAATAGAAAATTAATTTCCCTATACTAAATAGCTATAGGTACATTTTTCCAAGCTTGGAATAACTCAAGTCAGACAAGCTGCTAATTGGCTTCATTTTTTTCAGAGCTGCTGGCAGGTCAGAATGTCTGAAAAAACAGACCATACTTATGTATATAAATATGGCTGTAGTTGCCTGGGAACACAAACGTGAAAGCTTATCCTCAAATAGCACTTACTGTATATATACACAGGACACACACAACTGCTGCTGAGCCACTACCTGTCTTGCAGCAGCCGCTACTTGCTGGTCATAGATGTCCAGGTTTCTGCCCATGAGTTCCAGCGCAGACCGTCGATCAGTGGGGGCTGTTGGGTTAGGACTCAGGATGGACTCATGTTCGTACACAGCAGCCACGTAACGTGCCTCCTGCTTAACTCTTCCTGAGACAACTTGATAGCAGAAAAAGCAGACAGACAGCTTCCAGCACAGATCCACCATGTTGTGTGCCATAAATCTAGAGCAAAAAAACCCAAACAGGTGTGGAGGGGAGGGGAAGCTTCAGTGACAACTCGTGCCAGGAATTTAAATTTAATATTAAATATGGACTGTAACTGAGACTCTGCAGTGTTTGAACTGAGCGTGTTGTTTTCAAATTCCTGACCAAAGACGTGCATAATGTGTATTGACAGAACTTCATTCTAACTGCTTTTTGCTACATGTATAGTTGCGCTGTCTCCTTGCTTGATCTCCCTTTAGTTCTTGTTTGTCTATAGATCTATTGCACCACGTAACAAAATATCTCTGGGAAAAGCTACAAGCAGCTCACAAATGTGCACTTCCTCCCCCAGCTGGTAAGGGTGGTGGTTTACAAGTAGCAATTCCTAAAATGACTTGAACGCTGTATTTAGGAGACAAGTAACAGCATATACCATTTTACCATTTAGATAACTGCCAAAAAAAAATTTGAAACTACTGCATTTATCTGTTTTTCTATCACAGGAATCGCTGTCCTGATGGATTCCAAATTTTCATTTTATTCTAGCTCTGCACATGTGATAAATAGATTCATTTGGCTTTTTTCCAACATCTATAAAAACGCTGAGTGCAATTCAGATCCACGTTCCTCCTGCACAGTGCAGACAGGTAAGGTAACACACTTTCAGGTAACAACAACAAAGCAAGAATACAAACAAAATGCAAAAAAAATTGCGTTACTGAGCTTTTCTTAGATTTAATTCTTTTCCCACTGGTTTGATTCCCCAGACCTCAAAAGCAGCTTCCTTAAAAAGAACACACTGGAGAAATCCCTTTATGCTCCAAACTCCAGAGGCTGAGCAGCAGAAACAAATGAAGAATTACACAACCTGGAAGGCTGGGGCACCCTCTCTGATATGGGCTCCCCATGTAGCCTTTTTGACACCCTGACTGCATCCTGTACTTATACATAAGATTAATGAGAGTTCAGTATTTGTTACCTGTGTTAAGTAGCATTAAGAAATTAAATGTTGGATATCACCAAAGGTGAAAGAGCACTAAGGAGAGATGTGCTGATGTTAGATAACAATGGCCTCCAGTATTCAAGATCAATTACCAACTTTTTAGATGTATTTCTTTTTTGGTAACACTAAACCAGGAAAGAATGTGCTAAAATACTGTGTTTTTCAATCCCTGTGACCCACAGCACCCTGACCGTTCCAAAGCAAATATGACAAGCTTTCTCTAGCTCTCACTGGGAGGAGTTCAATGGAAACAGAGACCAATCTTAAACTACTCCCACTTTTATTCTTATTCATGTCACATCAAAAGTAGTTTTCTACTTAAAAAAAGGAAGTGCAGACACACTAGCTTCAATTCCAGAATGAAAGGTAGGTGATAATCAATTCTCAATACTGGTATAGTTTTTCTTTCTTTCTTTGTTTTTTTTCCCCTCATTTTTCCTAAATACCAACTTGACCAGTATTCAGCAGTGAGCAATTTGAAGTGTGCAGGAATCCATTCAGAAAGCATTTGCTAAGTAACATTTTAATTTAAACCACCTGGTCATTTCCACAAGCTCGTTTGAGAGCAACACAACCTGTGTAGGACGTGGAAACCAAAACCTTTGTGATTAGGCAACAGATTTGTTTGCGTAACGAAAACATTCTAGTATGCAGTAATGCCTGTCAGGGTCCAGGTGTGACTTAGCAATTCAATGCCTCTAAGCTCAACGTTACGTTTGTTTTTCTTGACCTTTGACTGTGTGCCCATACATACATGACTTCAGCAGTGAACTTCAAGTTACCTAAAGCAGCATAAAAATAGAATACAGCACAGGCATCTCTGGAAACAGTTGTGTTAAGAATACTCCATTTATATGAATAGTTCTGACAGCAATGTACAGTAAGTTCCTCTCGCTATTCTACAATGCACTCCTCAAGGAAAGGAGTACTTAGGGGGAGTGACATCAAAACCTGAGGCTCCAGCTTTGTCCTGCTCAACTCTCCTAATGAAATCTGATCAGCATTTAGCAATACCCAGGTGCAAGAAAACATATAAAGCAGTAGCAGGGAGTAGTAGAGAGAAAGCCTTTCACTGTTATGGAAGCCAATGAAAATAAACACACTGTTGGACTTCAGTGACAAAACTATCTTTTCTATCTGGCATCCCTTCAGAGCCAAAATGCCTATTTAGGACAGGAATGGGTTCACATCAGCCATTCCTTAACAAAGCTGTCAACTAAGATGTAATTAGAATTTTTCTCTACTAGCAATGGACAAACTTGCAGAGTTTCAGAACACAGGATTGAATTGCAGTGTATTAGATATGTCTTATAAGCCAAACATACCGACACAGAACATTAACAGGGCATCAAAAAAGAAGGGGTTCACGTCGGTATCTCAAATGTTTCCAACAACCAGAAAATAAACCATGGCTGAAAAATGAGAATTCTCCGGGCTTACTGGTGAAATATTTTTTATTCCCCTAATGGAAAACACTATGCTATCTAACAAATCCTTTCCCTTAAGAGAGGATTAGGACCTACAGAGCTGTCAGCTCACCTGAGTCACAACTCAAAAAAAAAAAAAAAAATTAATAACCCAAAATGCTTTATGATTTTTTTTCTTTTCCCCACTCCTGTAATTTACACAATCTCTTGCCTGGCAGCTGTGCTTCAGTATGATCACCTTACAAACCCACCTGCAGCTATTTCGTAGCAGTATTACCAGCACGCAGTTGCAGTATATTCATTACAGCACTATACACAAAAGGTAGGAAGGCTGCTGTTTAAGTTCAGATGCTAATTCATAACAATGTTTCCCCTGGTTACAGCATGAGATGCTTTTCTATTAAATCTATCAGAACCATCACTCTCAGCAGTGAGAAAGTGCAGCACCCAGACACCAGTTCTACAATGACTTTGGAAACTTACCAGTTTGCCAACTCTCAACACACAGGGATCTATGCACAGAGCAAAGCAATGTACACTCTGCTTCTCAGCTCTTTTATAATTAGAGGAATCTAACAGACTGTGAAGCAGCACTCATCCAAGTCCTCTTAAGTGAATAACAGCAAATGCCTGGTAAGCCGTAGTAGCAGTGATAACTACCAGGCAAGGTACTGACTTTGCTAAGAAATAAAAGTATTTTTTTCAGTTAAATTATGCTCACAAGTTATGCAATGTTGCCGATGTTCACGCATAGGTTGCTCCAAAAGTAATGCCTCCTATTCATTTCCATACAACAAAGAGCACATTAAAATTATTTGAGTAGATTATTAGCTAGGAAAAAAAAAAACAAAAACAAAAAAAAAACAAAAAAAACACCACAAAACACTTTTTTCAACACAGTCATCACCACAAGCAGTGCATTCTCAACAGTGATGAACAAGAGTCTGCATGCCATGCTGAATAAAGTCTCCACCAGTAGAGGCAAGTCCATCTGTGTCCCCAGCAAGCTTTGAGACACAGAAGTTAACAGAATAATAACTTACAGTGACCTGCTGCTGAAACACACCAGCACTGCATCACCATGCTTGCATCCACTGGTTGGTCTCTAAAAATGTTCAACAAGCACTGATCAGTGTCAATGGGTGCCATTTTTCCTGCATGGAGGAGCTCAATTCCACGCCTTCACTTCATCCACACTTCCATGTCACATTCTATTCGTCAGGCTGCCCCTGTGCTGCCATCTGTCACATGGCAACAACATGGAATGGAATATTGGTGGGAAAGCTCAACTTCTGCTGCCATACCACCAACATCCACCTCTGATATCGCTGGGCAACATCGTAAAATAGGAGGCACTACTTTCAGAGCAGCCCCCACGTAGCTACACAAGCACACAAACGTGGATCTAAAGAAGTGACCGATCTCCCACTAACCTTTTTCTTTCCCCACTGACTCCTCCCATCCGCTGATTTTGAATCCCCTGCCGTCTCTTAACACTTAATTATGTGTTTTTATGGTGTTTTTCTTTTGGCAACGCAACGCTGTCACAGCTCGGTGTAAGCACGCCTCCCGCTTCCATTCCTGCTAAGCGTTCGTTCCGTAGGTAACAGGTTACGTAACCTCGCTCTGGCTTCTTGCCTTTTACCCAAGGCCGCTCAGCGCGGCCATGCTGGGCCCCAGCAAGCCGGGACGGCAGCACCGGTAGAGCACGCCGCATCAATGCAGGACCGTACGAAGCCGGTAGCACCGGTTACGCGGTGAGCAGGGCACACCAAGCAGGGCCTCGCTCTATACCTACGCTTCTCCTCACGAGCACGGCAACGGGGAGCCCCGCACCCCAACCCACCTGTCCTCCGCTCCGCGCCACAGCTCAGCTCCGCCCCTTGGCGCTGCCGTTTAACGGTCGCGCACGCGACGCGCTGCAGTCGCCCCCTGCCGGCACGGCCGCGCGCGACGGCGGCCGTCTCCCGCCCTCTGATTGGGTGCCTGCTCTAGCCAATAGAAGCCCTCTCACCGCTCGCCCGCTGGGTGAGAGGCGGAGACTCGTCTCCTTTAATCCCGCCTCCTCCGCTGCCTCATTGGCTGGGTGGCCTACTGGTTACCGGGCGGCCTGCGGCGCTCCGTCTTCCTGCTGTGTCGGAGCGGCAGCATGGAGGAGCTCAGCGGCGCTCAGCTTATCGCTGAGGTTCTCAGGGCGCAAGTAAGAGCGTGGGGCTTATGCTTTCTAAGCCGTCTTTTGGGAGTCGTTCTGATCTCTAACGTTTCCGTTCTAGAATGTCGAGTACATGTTCGGCGTTGTCGGTATTCCGATCACTGAGGTGGCAGTTGCGGCACAGGCAGCCGGAATCAAGTACATAGGGATGAGAAACGAGCAGGCTGTAAGTATGCCAGCTTAGATCCCAGGTGTCACGAGTTAGCCTAAGGGACTGTTTTGATGGCATGACGCTGGTTTTGCGTTTGGTTTTTGTTTTATTTCCCAGCAACATCAAGCTTATACCTGGTTTTCAAGAATTGCTCATAGATTGCTCCTGGATGGCTCACAGGTGGCCTGCCAGCTTTCCCTGCTTGGATTTTCACCTGTGTTCTTGTCAGTCTTCTTTAGCTGGCAGTAGAGAACAAAACATTTCTTTCTCTCCTGAACCAAGTGGCCATGAGCTGTGTCTTTCTGCTGTCTAACCCCAGCATTGTTATATTAATGAGTGTGAGGACCCGGAGAGGAATATGTGCCTCTATGTGGAAGATCAGTCTCTAACATGAGAGGCAAATACATACCGTCATGTTTTAAAGGTACATTTGGTTCCTTTGAAGGATTAGGAATTTGATATTCTTTATATTCCCATAGGTCATTTAGCAGCTATTCTAACTTCAGTTTTAGTTATTAACATGATTAAAATTAGTAGTAGTGTCTGTAATTAACAGAGAAGATTGCTTTGCACTGCTAAATTAGATGCTTTCCTACTTATCACTGCTTATTAGACTATTTTCTGAGAACAAAGAAGACAAGAAACATCTTTCTCTATAAATAGTAGAATCATAGAATGGCTTGGGTTGGAAGGGACATCGAGGATCATCAAGTCCCAACCCCCCCGCCTTAAGCAGGGATGCAATCTGCTAGATGAGATTGCTAGGGCTCCATCCAACCTGGCCTTAAATATCTCCAGGGATGGGGTATCCACAACCTCTCTGGGCAGCCTGTTCCAGTGCCTCACCACTCTCAGCAAAAATATTCCATTTACTTCCAGTAAATAGTGAGATATTTTTGCTTAGGGGAAGAACAATATTACAAAGACTTGCTGCAGTGTCAAAATATTGAGATTTCTTTAATGGCATCTTGTGATGGTTTTTGTTTTCTTGATTGTCCTCAGTGGAGAATTTAGCAGTGAAGAGAGCAAGATCCTTGTACACACAATATATTCAGTGTACATTTAGTATTTATGCATCATAGTTCTAGTTGTCCAAGTTTATTTGTTGTATTGTTGTGGTGCTTGTGTGTACAGCTCTGTACTTCCTGTGTAGGTAAAGGTAGATGTCTGTAATCTGAGATGTATGGAAATCAGATGCACACCTCATTTTAAGACTAGCTGTAGCAAAAGCACATTTGCAGAATAAACTGTTAGATTAGAAATATCAGACTAAAGCATGAAGTTGAAAGCTCGTTGACACTGTCAATTATTTGCAGCTAATCTCCCGTGGCCTGCAACATGGTACGTATGTGCTAGTAGTAGTTTAACTCATGTCCCACTTGGCCCTTGAACACTGGGTGGTTATGTTGCAACTCAGTAGGGGCGTGAGTCCTTGCCTGAGTAATTACAGATTGCTGTGATAGATTCAGAAGATTGATAGGTTAGTTTTAAACTTAAAAAACAACAACAACAAAAAAACCCCTATTCATTAACACACATTGGTAATGTTTATCTCTTTAACAATAGTTATCACTAGATACTTAAAGTAGTCTGATTTTGAGAATCATATCCTATTTATGTCATGAGTATCCAATATACTGTAGCTAGTGCAGATGCTCATAGCTGCCAAGGATTGGCAGAATCTTGAGAATTCTTGAGAATCTTCCAGTAAAAGGAAGGAAGCAAAACAGACCTCTGTTTTCAACCCCCATTGGATTCACGATCTCATTTTGTACAATTTTTCAGCCTTTGAACAGTTTAGAACCCTTGGCCTTCCTGTCTGGACTATGGACAGTGCAGTACTGGATGGGTGTTAATTTCTCAGGTCAGGACAGGTGCCTTCCCTGTTACACATCTGGGTTTTTTTTTTCCAAGCTTTTATTTTCCTAAGCTGAGGCACTGCCACTTTTTCTAAAGCAAAAGCACAGCCTCCCCAGCTCTCAAAGCAGCACTTCTGCATTGGCCAGTAATTGGCCATCAGCATAGTTGTTTACTATTCTGGGACCCCTGCTTTCAACCTGTAGGTTGAAAGGCCATATTTTCAAGGCCTGTAATTAATCTGTTCATTGCAATAGAATCTGACATCACGTACTAAGCATGAAGCTCAGGTTGGTGCAGCAAGGTTTTGCAACACACTGATTGGAAGTCCTACTGCCAGTCCCAGTACATTTAGCATAAGGGGCTGCAGGGGCTGCTCCTTGACATGTCAGTATTGTTTTTACTGGACCAGTGTGTTCAAAAACACTTAAATCTAGTTTACTAGTTACGTTATATAAGTTTACTTGTATTTGAGTTGAAAACAGGCTAGTATTTAATTAAACCCTCCTTGTCTAAGAACAGCAATCCTCTGCTTTGACTATCTTTCAAACCCAGTGTTAACATGAGTAGTTTCAAATTTGAAGTCCAGTGCCTGTATCTGTTCTACCTGCATTTCTTGCTCATGTTAATTTTAAGGTTAATGGACTTGATGGTCTGTAGTGTCCCTTCCAACTTGAGATATTCAACGATTCTACCACATCTTTGTAAAGGGAAGGGCAAAGGGCTGCTTGAAATTCTATTTAAGCTGTAATTATCAGGGAAACATCTTTACTTGCTTAATTTCAGTACTGCTGTTGAATGTTATTTACATACCATGAAATGTGCACGTGTTAATAATAACTGTATAACTCCACAATATTTTCCATAGGCTTGTTACGCTGCATCTGCTGTTGGATATTTGACTGGCAGGTAAATTCTATATTTATCAACATTTATAATGATATAATTTGTATCAACTATATTATATTCAACAGAAGCTTGGTTTGGAGTTGGGTTTTTTTAGTGTGTGCAGATGTAGAGCAATTAAAATGAAACATCAGTTTTAAACTATTTGTCAATACAGTTATCAGTATTGGTACAATTCAGGGCAGGAACAAAGAGATGCTAAAAGTCGTGTAATACTGTGAATCTTATAACTGCCTTAAATTTTTCTCTTTTGGTTTCTTATGAGTAGTTTAACACTGCTGGTATGAAGGGCAGAACTAACAGCCATTGTTTGTTGCAACTTGGTAGACTTGCTCTGCCATACCTTCGTCTTGTCATATCACTCAACAAACACCTTGTTGATACAGAGACTAATTACATGGTTGCCTGTTTATCATGTGCTTCTCCTGACGCGAAATGCTGGATTTTCCTCTTCTGCATTTTGCTCTTAGCACTGCTGGGAAGCATTCTGTGGCCTGTGAAATGAAGGGTATTGCTGTTTGGGTATCCTATGGACTTTTTCCTGAAGTCAGCAACTAGTGTGCATTTACAAATGCAGACTTGATGCAGATGATCAATCCTTTTCCTATCTGCAAATATTAGAACTGTTTTGAGGTTTTTCTTCCTTTCAGTAATCCTCTAGAAATAAGCTTTTCTTTTTTTCTTCTTCTCATATCTACATAGCCCACAGGACTGTTGGAAAATGCCCAGTAATTAAGAATGATTATCTCCTTATCTGGAATAAGACATGCCTGTGCTTGATTTAGACTATAATAAAGTTTGCTTTGAGTCAGATCCTTGTCTCTCCTCGTGAGCTCTTTTTGTTGATACCCAGTGCTTAAGTGGAGTTGAGACAACTTAGGTGGCTTACCGAATTCCACATAGGCATTAAATAAAAAAAAACAAAGTGCTGCGTAATCACGATGCTTAGTATGATAAGCCACCATATGTTTTGGACCTGTCTGTGGATAGCACGTGACAACTGTTCCCATGCTTGTTTATTTGCACTGGTAAAGATAAATAATTTTTGATTGCATTATTAGTCCTTCCTACAAATCCCACGTTGTTCATGCATTTTGACAACATGAATAGAACTTTAATATCTTATTTTTCAACATCTTACTAATTTTTGTTTGTGATTAATTGGATGTTTACTGTACTCACTTTCCTTTTTTCTTTCTTTTTTATTTTTCTGTCCAGGCCGGGAGTATGTCTTGTAGTTTCTGGTCCAGGTTTTTTACATACCCTTGGTGGGATGGCAAATGCAACCATGAATTGCTGGTAATTTAATTCCACTTTCTCTTTAAAACTCTTCACTGTCATTTGGTGTAGATATTGAGCTCTGCACTATTTAGTATATGACCTTCTTTTCTTCTTGTAGGTAGCGAGTAGTGAATTCTTCGTTTGTGCCCCCTAAAAGTAACTTAGTTCAGCTTTTTGTATCCTCATGAATAAGTTTTCCTTTTTGTCCTATCCTAGTATGTTTTTATTGAAAAGTCTATCAATATACCTTATTACATGGATGCATTTGAAAATGAAGGTAAGATACAGCCTGTAACGCTTTACTGAGTTTTGGAAGAATTTCAGAGTTTTTTCTATATTTGAGAGCCATAATGCTCATGAATTACTCTATTTTCCATATTTCATGCATGAACAAATT